CCCCTGAGCGCCGACCGTCCCCGTCCCCTGAGCGCCGACCGTCCCCCCGTCCCCTGAGCGCCGACCGTCCCCCCGTCCCTGAGCGCCGACCGTCCCCTGAGCGCCGACCGTCCCTGAGCGCCGACCGTCCCCCGTCCCCCCCTGAGCGCCGTCCCCCGTCCCCTGAGCGCCGACCGTCCCCTGAGCGCCGACCGTCCCCCCGTCCCCTGAGCGCCGACCGTCCCCGTCCCCAGAGCGCCGACCGTCCCCCGTCCCCTGAGCGCCCGACCGTCCCCCGTCCCCTGAGCGCCGACCGTCCCCCCCCGTCCCCTGAGCGCCGACCGTCCCCCGTCCCCTGAGCGCCGACCGTCCCCCCGTCCCCTGAGCGCCGACCGTCCCCCCGTCCCCCCCCCGTCCCCGACCGTCCCCAGAGCGCGACCGTCCCCCCGTCCCCTGAGCGCCGACCGTCCCCCGTCCCCTGAGCGCCGACCGTCCCCCCGTCCCTGAGCGCCGACCGTCCCCTGAGCGCCGACCGTCCCAGAGCGCCGACCCCCCCCGTCCCGAGCGCCGACCGTCCCCCGTCCCCTGAGCGCCGACCGTCCCCCCGTCCCCAGAGCGCCGACCGTCCCCCCGTCCCCAGAGCGCCGACCGTCCCCCCGTCCTCGTCCCGGAGCGTCCTCGCGTCCTTCCTCGCGTCCTTCCTCGCGTCCTTCCTTGCGTCAGAACCCGACACCGTTAAAACCACTATTTTCACGCCGTCCCGTCGGACTCGGGTCGGGGTTCTGTTCTCACCCGGGCGTCCGCGATGCGTCGGCAGATCGCGGCGTAACTCGCCCGGCGTCGCCATGTGACCGCGGTCGTCGTGACTCTCCGTCCGTCCGTCACGCGGAGCGGCTTCGTAACTCACCAAAGTCGCACTCAGACGTTTGGACAGGTTTTTGAGGGACGGGGGACTTCAGAGGGAATTAAAGGATTTTAAAGAGCGTCTTGTCCCAAAAATATCGTACGGTATGATCCTGGTCTGGTCCTGATCCTGGTCTGATCCTGGTCTGATCCTGGTCTGATCCTGGTCTGATCCTGGTCTTGGTCTGGTCCTGGTCCCGGTCTTGGTCCTGGTCTTGGTCTGGTCCTGGTCCTGGTCCGGGTCCTGGTCCGGGTCCTGGTCCGGGTCCTGGTCTGGTCTTGGTCTGGTCCTGATCCCGGTCCTGGTCCTGATCTCGGTCTTGGTCCTGGTCCTGGTCTTGATCCTGGTCTTGATCCTGGTCTGGTCCTGATTCTGGTCTGATCCTGGTCTTGGTCTGGTCCTGGTCCCGGTCCTGGTCCCGGTCTTGGTCCTGGTCTTGGTCTGGTCCTGATCCTGGTCCTGGTCCGGGTCCTGGTCCGGGTCCTGGTTTGGTCTTGGTCTGGTCCTGATCGGTCCTGGTCCTGATCTCGGTCTTGGTCCCAGTCCTGGTCTTGATCCTGGTCTTCCTGGTCTGTCTGTCTGATTCTGGTCTGTCTGGTCTGGTCTGTGGTCTGGTCCTGGTCTGGTCTGGTCTGTCCTGGTCCTGGTCCTGGTCTGGTCTGGTCCTGTGGTCTGAGTCTTGGTCCCGGTCCTGGTCTTGATCCTGGTCTTGATCCTGGTCTTGGTCCCGGTCCTGGTCCTGGTCTTGATCCTGGTCTTGATCCTGGTCTTGATCCCGGTCTTGGTCCTGATCCTGGTCTTGATCCTGGTCTTGGTCCCGGTCTTGGTCCCGGTCTTGATCCTGGTCTTGATCCTGGTCTTGATCCTGGTCCTGGTCCGGGTCCTGGTTTGGTCTTGGTCTGGTCCTGATCCCGGTCCTGGTCCTGATCTCGGTCTTGGTCCCAGTCCTGGTCTTGATCCTGGTCTTGATCCTGGTCTGGTCCTGATTCTGGTCTGATCCTGGTCTTGGTCTGGTCCTGGTCCCGGTCTGGTCCTGGTCTTGGTCTGGTCCTGATCCTGGTCCTGGTCCTGGTCTGGTCCTGGTCCTGGTCCCGGTCCTGGTCTTGATCCTGGTCTTGGTCCTGGTCCTGGTCTTGATCCTGGTCTTGATCCTGGTCTTGATCCTGGTCTTGATCCTGGTCTTGGTCCCGGTCTTGGTCCTGATCCTGGTCTTGATCCTGGTCTTGATCCTGGTCTTGATCCTGGTCTTGATCCTGGTCTTGGTCCCGGTCTTGGTCCTGATCCCGGTCTTGGTCCTGGTTTCAGAGGCAGACGGTGGAGCTGATCCCGATCTCCAAGGTCACGTACAAGTGGAAGGGCGACGCCCACCTGTTCTACGTCTACGGCAACGAGCGCCAGGTGAGCGCCGACTACCCCGCCACCTGCTGCTGCGCGGTCATGTGACCTGTGACCCGCCTCCAGCCCCGCCCCCAGCCTCCAGCCCGCCCCCGCCCCAGCCCCGCCCCCAGCCCCGCCCCCAGCCTCCAGCCCCGCCCCAGCCCCGCCTCCTCCTGCTGCATGTTCTCGTCGCTGGTTCTTAATCTCTGAATTTTTCCAAAAGTCTGTGGGGAAAAAAATGAATAGAAAATGTGGTTCCTGAACCAGGAGGTGGCGCCGTCGAGTTCTAAGAATATGAAATGAAAATATATACAGTTATATTCTGCTCACAGACTGAAGGGGCACTCTAGTCCTACTCTAGTCCTGGTCTAGTCCTGGTCTAGTCCTGTCTAGTCCTGGTCTAGTCCTGGTCTAGTCCTGGTCTAGTCCTGGTCTAGTCCTGGTCTGTGAGCCGTTCTGGGTTTAGGGTTTGATTGTGTTTTTTTTTGTTATTTTTTTGCATTTGTGTTCTGCCTGTAACTGCCTTTACGACCACTAAGAGGTGCTGTTCACTCAGACCTCACACCTCAGACGTTTCTCAGACGTTTCTCAGACGTTTCTCAGACGTTCCTCAGACGTTCCTCAGACGTTCCTCAGACTCTACAGGACAAACTCGACCGGTGTTAAATAAAACAGAATGATATAAAAGTGTTTGTGGGTTCAAACATGTCGCTGTTTTCGGTTTAAATGATCTTTTCAATAAAATGTTTCTTCCTCCAAAGTCCAGCTCCACTGAGCCAAACATCTGTTCAATAAAGACAAGTTTTACAACCAGGTCGACTTTCATTTGTTTATTTAAATACAAACACTCTGACCACAGGTGTGACCACAGGTGTGACCACGGGTGTGACCACAGGTGTGACCACGGGTGTGACCACGGGTGTGACCACGGGTGTGACCACGGGTGTGACCACGGGTGTGACCACGGGTGTGACCACGGGTGTGACCACAGGTGTGACCACAGGTGTGAGCACAGGTGTGACCACAGGTGTGACCACAGGTGTGAACATGCTGAGCCCTGCACATGGCCGTGCCCCACAAATGCACCTTACCCCTTGATCTGACCCCTAAACCCAGCTGCACTCTTAACTGTAGCTCTAACCCTAGGCCTAAATTTAACCCGAGCCCGAGCCCCAGGCTTATAATAATTATAATAATTATAATAATTATAATAATTATAGTAATTCAAATAAAATTATAAATAAAAATCTTTATGTAACAAACAAAGATACCGGAAGTTAAAAAAGAGAAGTGATTTTATTCACAATTATATATTTGTTGTTTGTTTTTTTTGTTTTTTAAATAATTTCGAGTTCAGTTTTTTGTGTTTCCTGAAAAACTTGAAAAAATCACGAATATTTCAGGAAAGTGTCGAAATATATATATATTTTTCTTTTTTTTTTTCTTTTTTTTGTGTCGATAAATCACGCGCTGAACGCTGTGGTGACGTCACACTGCGCTTTTCCCCCCAAAACTCCGCCAAGCTCCGCCCCGTGTTTCCGGGGCTTCCGGTGGGGGGCGGGACCTCCTAACTGTAACCCGCGCCCTCACGGGCACGACGCACGCACACGTCCCGGCGCACGCGACCCGGTAAGTCACGCACGATCGGCGCAGTTCGGCTCTTTCCGGAGTCACGCGCTTTTTTCACTTTAAACTTTAGGACCGGACTAAAAGTGGTCCAGAACTGGGTCTAAACCAGGACCACAGCAGGGTCTGGACCAGGACTTGAACAGGGTCTAAACCAGGACTTGAACAGGGTCTAAACCAGGACCACAGTAGGGTCTGGACCAGGACTGAACCAGGTCTGGACCAGGACTTGAACAGGGTCTAAACCAGGACTTGAACAGGGTCTAAACCAGATCTAAACTAGGACTTGAACAGGGTGTAACCCAGAACTAACCCAGAACTAACCCAGAACTAACCCAGGACTGAACCAGGACTAGAAGAGACTTTAATCCAGGAGTAAAACCTGGTTCTGGACCAGGACTAAGTGAATAATCACGTTTGGTCTGATCTTGTAATGTAATAACAGTTTATGGAGCAACAACAGATTCACCACAGAAGTACACAGAAGTACTGCAGTACTACACACTACTACACACTACTACACAGTACTACACACTACTACACACTACTACTGCAGTACACAGAGCAGATTACTGCGTTTTGAAGTACTCTGGGGAGTATTTCGACTCAGTGCAGGATTTTTAGTTTGAGTCTGAAAAAGTTTCAGTTCAGATCCGGAACCGTTTTAGGTCTGGACTCTTGAACTGGTTTAAATCCACAGTGCTGGTCCTGGTTTAGTCCTGGTTTAGTCCTGGTTTAGTCCTGGTTTAGTCCTGGTTTAGCTGGTTTAGTCCTGGTTTAGACCTGGTTTATTACCTGGTTTAGTCCTGGTTTAGACCTGGTTTAGTCCTGGTTTAGTCCTGGTTTAGACCTGGTTTAGTCCTGGTTTTAGTCCTGGTTTAGTCCTGGTTTAGACCTGGTTTAGTCCTGGGTCCTGGTTTAGTCCTGGTTTAGACCTGGTTTAGTCCTGGTTTAGTCCTGGTTTAGTCCTGGTTTAGTCCTGGTTTAGACCTGGTTTAGTCCTGGTTTAGTCCTGGTTTAGTCCTGGTTTAGACCTGGTTTAGTCCTGGTTTAGTCCTGGTTTAGACCTGGTTTAGTCCTGTTTAAGTCCTGGTTTAGTCCTGGTTTAGTCCTGGTTTAGTCCTGCTTTAGTTCTGGTTTAGTCCTGGTTTAGACCTGCTTTAGTTCTGGTTTAGTCCTGGTTTAGACCTGGTTTAGTCCTGGTTTAGTCCTGGTTTAGTCCTGGTTTAGACCTGGTTTAGTCCTGGTTTAGTCCTGGTTTAGTCCTGGTTCTTTTTGGACTTTTGTTGGAGTTGTTTCTCGTGTCGTTTATTTTGTCCTGAGTCGGTCTGGATCTTGGACTGGGGACAAAGAAACAGGACCTACTTCAGACCTGGACCAGGCCCGGTCCAGGCCCGGTCCAGGCCCGGTCCAGGTCTGGTCCAGGTCTGGTCTGTGGTCAGGCGGGTCACAGGGCGGAGCTGGACTCTTAATGACAGACTCAGACTCTGGGGATTTTTGTGGGAAGTTTTATCTTCTCCAGATCCTAAACATGGACCAGTTTAGTCCTGGTTTAGACCTGGTTTAGTCCTGGTTTAGTTCTGGTTTAGTTCTGGTTTAGACCTGATTTAGACCTGGTTTAGTCCTGGTTTAGTCCTGGTTTAGTCGTGTTTAGTCCTGGTTTAGTCCTGGTTTAGTCCTGGTTTTAGTCCTGGTTTAGTCCTGGTTTAGTCCTGGTTTAGTTTAGTCCTGGTTTAGTTTAGTCCTGGTTTAGTCCTGGTTTAGTCCTGGTTTAGTCCTGGTTTAGTCCTGGTTTAGTCCTGGTTTAGTCCTGGTTTAGTCCTGTTTTAGTTTAGTCCTGGTTTAGTCCTGGTTTAGTCCTGGTTTAGTCCTGGTTTAGTCCTGGTTTAGTCCGTTTAGTCCTGTTTAGTCCTGGTTTAGTCCTGGTTTAGTCCTGGTTTAGTCCTGGTTTAGTCCTGGTTTAGTCCTGGTTTAGTCTGGTTTAGTTTAGTCCTGGTTTAGTCCTGGTTTAGTCCTGGTTTAGTCCTGGTTTAGTCCTGGTTTAGTCCTGGTTTAGTCCTGGTTTAGTCCTGGTTTAGTCCTGGTTTAGTCCTGGTTTAGTCCTGGTTTAGTCCGGACTCGGGGTTGGTTCACAGGAAGTTGTGGAGGAGGAGATAAGGTCCATCTGTTTCCACTGAACATGAAGTAAACAACAAGACGAACACGAGTACAAGTACTACAAATACTACTACAAATACTACAAATACTACTACAAATACTACAAATACTACAAATACTACTACAAACTACTACTACTACTACTACAAATACTACTACAAATACTACTACAAATACTACTACAAATACTACTACTACTACTACTACAAGCTACTACAAACTAATACTACTACAAAATACTACAACTACTACTACTACAAACTACTACTACTACTAAAATACTACTACAATACTACTACAAATACTACTACAAATACTACAACTACTACAAATACAACAAATACTACAAATACTACTACAACTACTACAAATACTACTACAATATACTACTACTACTAAAATACTACTACTACAAAACTACTACAAATACTACTACATAACTACTACTATACTACAAATACTACTACAAGTACTACAAATACTACTACTAAAAATACTACTACAACTACTACTACTACAATACTACTACAAATACTACTACAAATACTACTACAAGTACTACAAATACTACTACAAATACTACAAATACTACTACAAATACTACTACAAATACTACTACAATACTACTACAAACTACTTACTACAAATACTACTACTACTACTACTACTACTACAAACTACTACAAATACTACTAAATACTACTACTACTACAAATACTACTACAAATACTACTACAAATACTACTACTACTACAAACTACTACTACAAATACTACTACAAAACTACTACTACAACTACTACTACTACTATACTACTACAAATACTACTACTAAATACTACTACAATACTACTACTACAAATACTACTACAATACTACTACTACTACAAATACTACAAACTACTACAAATACTACTACAAACTACTACTACAAATACTACTACAAACTACTACTACTACTAGTACTACTACAAATACTACTACAAATACTACTACAAATACTACTACTACTACTACTACAAATACTACTACAAACTACTACTACTAAATACTACTAAATACTACAAATACTACTACAAATACTACTACAAATACTACTACAAGTACTACTACAAATACTACTAAAATACTACTACAAATACTACTACTACTACTACTACAAATACTACTACAAATACTACTACAATACTACTACAAATACTACTACAAATACTACTACACTACTACTACTACTACAAATACTACTACAATACTACTACTACTACAAATACTACTACAAATACTACTACTACTACTACTACTACTACTACAAATACTACAAATACTACTACAAATACTACTACTAATACTACTACTACAAGTACTACAAGTACTACAAATACTACTACAAATACTACTACAATACTACTACAAGTACTACAAATACTACTACAAATACTACTACTACTACAAGTACAACAAATATTACAAAAACTACTACTACTACTACTACAATTACTACTACAGATACTACAAGTACTACAAATACTTTTACTGCATGTTCTCGTTCTGTCGTTTCTGTTTGTTTTTACAAAAGAAACTTTGACCTGAGAAAATCCACGAGTCCAGACCCAGACCTGGTCTAGTCCTGGTTTAGACCTGGTTTAGACCTGGTCTAGTCCTGGTTTAGACCTGGTTTAGACCTGGTCTAGTCCTGGTTTAGACCTGGTTTAGTCCTGGTTTAGTCCTGGTTTAGACCTGGTTTAGACCTGGTCTAGTCCTGGTTTAGACCTGGTCTAGTCCTGGTTTAGTCCTGGTTTAGTCCTGGTTTAGTCCTGGTTTAGACCTGGTTTGATTCTTTAAGACTTTATTAGAAAAAAAAAAGAAAAAAACTAAACATGTTTGACCTCTGACCCTCAGGAGCTGACAGGTGCAGACAGGAGCTGACAGGTGCTGACAGGAGCTGACAGGTGCAGACAGGAGCTGACAGGTGCTGACAGGAGCAGACAGGTGCAGACAGGAGCTGACAGGTGCTGACAGGAGCTGACAGGAGCAGACAGGAGCTGACAGGAGCTGACAGGAGCTGACAGGAGCTGACAGGAGCAGACAGGAGCTGACAGGTGCTGACAGGAGCTGACAGGAGCAGACAGCTGACAGGAGCTGACAGCTGACAGGTGCTGACAGGAGCTGACAGGAGCTGACAGGAGCTGACAGGTGCTGACAGGAGCTGACAGGAGCTGACAGGTGCTGACAGGAGCTGACAGGAGCTGACAGGAGCAGACAGGAGCTGACAGGAGCTGACAGGTGCTGACAGGAGCTGACTGACAGGTGCTGACAGGAGCTGACAGGAGCTGACAGGAGCAGGTGTTTGAGGCTGATCTTATTGTAAACAGGAAGTGCGAGGGCGTCGGAAACAGGAAGTGAGATCAGAGACGACCTGTGGTCACATTTAAGACACACAAGTCCTGGTCTAGACTTAGACCTGGTTTAGACCTGGTTTAGTCCTGGTCTAGACTTAGACCTGGTTTAGTTCTGGTTTAGTCCTGGTCTAGACTTAGACCTGGTTTAGTCCTGGTTTAGTTCCTGGTCTAGACTTAGACCTGGTTTAGTCCTGGTTTAGTCCTGGTTTAGTCCTGGTCTAGACTTAGACCTGGTTTAGTCCTGGTTTAGTCCTGGTCTAGACTTAGACCTGGTTTAGTCCTGGTTTAGTCCTGGTCTAGACTTAGACCTGGTTTAGTCCTGGTTTAGTCCTGGTTTAGTCCTGGTCTAGACTTAGACCTGGTTTAGTCCTGGTTTAGTCCTGGTCTAGACTTAGACCTGGTTTAGTCCTGGTTTAGTCCTGGCCTAGATTTAGACCGGGTCTAGTCCTGGTTTAGACCTGGTCTAGACTTAGACCTGGTTTAGACCTGGTTTAGTCCTGGTCTGGGCTTAGACCTGGTTTAGTTCTGGTTTAGTCCTGGTCTAGACTTAGACCTGGTTTAGTCCTGGTTTAGTCCTGGTCTAGACTTAGACCTGGATTAGTCCTGGTTTAGTCCTGGTCTAGACTTAGACCTGGATTAGTCCTGGTTTAGTCCTGGTCTAGACTTAGACCTGGATTAGTCCTGGTTTAGTCCTGGTCTAGACTTAGACCTGGTTTAGACCTGGTTTAGTCTCAGACTCAGTGAAAAAGAAAGTGCATTTTATATGAAACTCTAAAACAAACCAAGACCAGGACCAGGACCAAGACCAAGACCAATACCAGGACCAGGACCAAGACCAGGACCAAGACCAGGACCAAGACCAAGACCAAGACCAGGACCAAGACCAGGACCAAGACCAAGACCAAGACCAAGACCAGGACCAAGACCAAGACCAATACCAGGACCAGGACCAAGACCAGGACCAAGACCAATACCAGGACCAGGACCAAGACCAGGACCAGGACCAAGACCAAGACCAAGACCAATACCAGGACCAAGACCAGGACCAGGACCAAGACCAGGACCAGGACCAAGACCAAGACTAAGTCATACAGTAAAGTACTGCAGTCATACTTTAAAGTACTACAGTCATACTTTAAAGTACTACAGTCATACAGTAAAGTACTACAGTCATACTTTAAAGTACTACAGTCATACTTTAAAGTACTGCAGTCATACTTTAAAGTACTACAGTCATACTTTAAAGTACTACAGTCATACAGTAAAGTACTGCAGTCATACTTTAAAGTACTACAGTCATACTTTAAAGTACTACAGTCATACTTTAAAGTACTACAGTCATACAGTAAAGTACTGCAGTCATACGGTAAAGTACTACAGTCATACTTTAAAGTACTACAGTCATACTTTAAAGTACTACAGTCATACAGTAAAGTACTGCAGTCATACAGTAAAGTACTACAGTCATACAGTAAAGTACTACAGTCATACTTTAAAGTACTACAGTCATACAGTAAAGTACTGCAGTCATATAGTAAAGTACTACAGTCATACAGTAAAGTACTACAGTCATACGGTAAAGTACTACAGTCATACTTTAAAGTACTACAGTCATACAGTAAAGTACTACAGTCATACTTTAAAGTACTACAGTCATACTTTAAAGTACTGCAGTCATACAGTAAAGTACTGCAGTCATACAGTAAAGTACTACAGTCATACAGTAAAGTACTACAGTCATACTTTAAAGTACTACAGTCATACAGTAAAGTACTGCAGTCATACAGTAAAGTACACAGTAAAGTACTACAGTACTAAAGTACTACAGTCATACAGTAAAGTACTACAGTCATACTTTAAAGTACTACAGTCATACGGTAAAGTACTACAGTCATACAGTAAAGTACTACAGTCATACGGTAAAGTACTACAGTCATACAGTAAAGTACTGCAGTATTTTTAAAGGGTGATTTTTAATTTTTTATTTTAAACTCTTAAAATTTCAGCAACTAAAATTCAAAATAAAAATAATTCAGACATGTTTTTGTGCGAAATTCTGAGTTTTTAAACTCTAAATCTGATGTGAGGGTCCAGACTCTCCAGATCCGGTTTGGATCCTGGGACCATCCTCCAAACGGGTCCGGACTCTCCAGATCCGGTTTGGATCCTGGGACCATCCTCCAAACGGGTCCGGACTCTCCAGATCCGGTTTGGATCCTGGTCCGTGTCGTTTTTCTCATGTTTTTATTGTGATGATTTTGATGATGTCATCCTCCCGGAGGCAGCCAATCACAGCCCTCGCTCACAGTCACATGACCCAGGGCCTCGGCTCAACTGAGCGCGCTCAGACAAGTCCAAACATGAACCAGGACTAAACCAGAACTAAACCAGGACTAACCCAGGACTGAACCAGGACTAAACCAGAACTGAACCAGGACTAAACCAGGACTAAACCAGGACTAACCCAGGACTAAACCAGGACTGAACCAGGACTGAATAAGGACTAAACCAGAACTAAACCAGGACTAAACCAGGACTAAACCAGAACTAAACCAGGACTAAACCAGGACTCAACCAGGACTGAACCAGGACTAAACCAGGTCTAAACCAGGTCTAAACCAGAACTAAACCAGAACTAAACCAGGACTAAACCAGAACTAAACCAGGACTAAACCAGGACTGAACCAGGACTGAACCAGGACTGAACCAGGTCTTGTTCTGTCCCACAGGAAGTGTCATTTTATGGACGTCCTGATGCTGATGATGCGAGGCCACGCCCCCGTCCCCTGCAGATGACATCACAGGTTTAGCCCCGCCCCGGTCGTCATGGCGATGAGGAGGAGGCTGTGCGTGCTGACGTTGGCCGCCGCCGTGTTGTTCCTCGTGCTCGCCACGCACAGCCACTTCCTGTCTCTCACCTCGCTCCCCCGCAGCCCGACGGCCGCCGCCGCCTCGCCCCAAGACTCTGGTTCCCATCATGCATCTGTGCAGCCCGTGACCTCTGACCCCCGGACACGCCCCCCGCCCGACGCTTTGGAGCGGAAACAGGAGGCGGAGAAACGGTGAGTCCGACGACGGTGAGCGGCGTTTTAGATCAACTGAATCAAAATCATTTAATTCAGAATCAAAATCATTTAATTCAGAGTCAAAATAATTTAATTCAGAATCAAAATAATTTAATTCAGAGTCAAAATCATTTAATTCAGAATCAAAATCATTTAATTCAGAGTCAAAATCATTTAATTCAGAATCAAAATCATTTAATTCAGAGTCAAAATCATTTAATTCAGAATCAAAATCATTTAATTCAGAGTCAAAATCATTTAATTCAGAATCAAAATCATTTAATTCAGAGTCAAAATCATTTAATTCAGAGTCAAAATCATTTAATTCAGAGTCAAAATCATTTAATTCAGAATCAAAATAATTTAATTCAGAGTCAAAATAATTTAATTCAGAATCAAAATCATTTAATTCAGAGTCAAAATCATTTAATTCAGAATCAAAATCATTTAATTCAGAGTCAAAATCATTTAATTCAGAATCAAAAGCATTTAATTCAGAGTCAAAATAATTTAATTCAGAATCAAAATCATTTAATTCAGAGTCAAAATCATTTAATTCAGAATCAAAATCATTTAATTCAGAGTCAAAATCATTTAATTCAGAGTCAAAATCATTTAATTCAGAATCAAAATCATTTAATTCAGAGTCAAAATTATTTAATTCAGAATCAAAATAATTTAATTCAGAGTCAAAATCATTTAATTCAGAATCAAAATCATTTAATTCAGAGTCAAAATCATTTAATTCAGAGTCAAAATCATTTAATTCAGAGTCAAAATCATTTAATTCAGAATCAAAATCATTTAATTCAGAGTCAAAATCATTTAATTCAGAATCAAAATCATTTAATTCAGAATCAAAATCATTTAATTCAGAGTCAAAATCATTTAATTCAGAATCAAAATCATTTAATTCAGAGTCAAAATCATTTAAATTAGAGTCAAAATCATTTAATTCAGAATCAAAATCATTTAATTCAGAATCAAAAACATTTAATTTAGAGTCAGAATCATTTAATTCAGAATCAAAATAATTTAATTCAGAGTCAAAATCATTTAATTCAGAATCAAAATCATTTAATTCAGAGTCAAAATCATTTAATTCAGAATCAAAATCATTTAATTCAGAATCAAAATCATTTAATTCAGAGTCAAAATCATTTAATTCAGAATCAAAACCATTTAATTTAGAGTCAAAATCATTTAATTCAGAATCAAAATCATTTAATTCAGAGTCAAAATAATTTAATTCAGAATCAAAATCATTTAATTCAGAATCAAAATCATTTAATTCAGAGTCAAAATAATTTAATTCAGAATCAAAACCATTTAATTTAGAGTCAAAATCATTTAATTCAGAATCAAAATCATTTAATTCAGAATCAAAATCATTTAATTCAGAATCAAAACCATTTAATTTAGAGTCAAAATCATTTAATTCAGAATCAAAATCATTTAATTCAGAATCAAAATCATTTAATTCAGAGTCAAAATAATTTAATTCAGAATCAAAACCATTTAATTTAGAGTCAAAATCATTTAATTCAGAATCAAAATCATTTAATTCAGAGTCAAAATCATTTAATTCAGAATTAAAATCATTTAATTCAGAATCAAGATGAATTTGTCTTTTACAAGTTCATGTAAACATTGAAACGATTATTGTGATTTAATTTGAATTCTGAAGCGTTTGGTTTGTTCTGATTTTAAAGAAAACATAATTTCTTCCTGAATCATGTTTCACGTTTATTTTTCTTCAAAATAATTCTGATTGTTGGGTTAATGTTGGAGTCAAGACCAAGACCGGTCCAAGACCACAAGGTCCAGAGACCAGGACAAGACCAAGACCACGGCCCATCGAGACCAAATCGAGACCAAATCGAGACCAAATCAAGACCAAATCAAGACCGTCTTTGTCATTTCCTACATTAATTTGTATTTTAGTTATTTTTGTAAATTTATATCAATGTTTTTATGAATCTATCTACATTTGATCACTCGAGACCGAGACAAGACCGAGTCCAAATGCCTTCAAGACCGAGACAAAACCGAGACAAATCCGAGACAAGACCAAGACCACAAAAAACAGGAGGCCGGTCTGAAGACCAAGACCGGTCTCGTACTACGACGCTTTGTTCTTCTGACGCGTTGATCCGGATGATCCGGCTCCTCCGGTCTGGTCTCGGGACTTTGATCCCGGTCTTGGATTTGTGGGCTGAGGTTTGGTCTTTGTGTTCAGGTCGTGCGGTTGTGATTCCTGCGTCTCTGACGTGTCGAGCTCCGATTGGTTCAAACAAAGATTCGACCCCGAGAAGCGACCAATCCTGACGCAGAACCAGACCATCGACCCCCAGGCCCTCAGCTGGTGGATGGTGAGTCCTGGTCCGGTCCTGGTTTAGACCTGGTTTAGTTCTGGTTTAGTCCTGATTTAGTCCTGGTTTAGTCCTGGTCCAATCCTGGTTTAGTCCTGGTTTAGTCCAGGTTTAGACCTGGTTTAGACCTGGTTTAGACCTGGTTTAGTTCTGGTTTAGACCTGGTTCAGTCCTGGTTTAGTTCTGGTTTAGACCTGGTTCAGTCCTGGTTTAGTCCTGGTTTAGTCCAGGCTTAGACCTGGTTTAGTTCTGGTTTAGACCTGGTTCAGTCCTGGTTTAGTCCTGGTTTAGTCCAGGCTTAGTCCAGGTTTAGACCTGGTTTAGTCCAGGTTTAGACCTGGTTTAGACCTGGTTTAGTCCAGGTTTAGACCTGGTTTAGTCCAGGTTTAGACCTGGTTTAGACCTGGTTTAGTTCTGGTTTAGACCTGGTTCAGTCCTGGTTTAGTCCTGGTTTAGTCCAGGCTTAGTCCAGGTTTAGACCTGGTTTAGTCCAGGCTTAGACCTGGTTTAGACCTGGTTTAGTTCTGGTTTAGACCTGGTTCAGTCCTGATTTAGTCCTGGTTTAGTCCAGGCTTAGTCCAGGTTTAGACCTGGTTTAGTCCAGGTTTATTCCTGGTTTAGACCTGGTTTAGTCCAGGTTTAGTCCTGGTTTAGTTCTTGTTTGTCTCTTCAGTCTCTCCAGCGTTCGGGAAACGGCCGCTCTCTACAGGAAGTGATATCAGAGCTGTTTAAGGTCATAGCCCCGCCCCCGGAGCCGCAGAAGCCCCGCCCCTCGCTATGTCGGACCTGCGCCGTCGTCGGGAACTCGGGAAACCTCCGGAATTCAGGCTACGGACGCCTTATCGACTCTCACCAGTCTGTGCTCAGGTGACGCCCGTTTAGATGCTTTTTTACTGAAATATACGTTTATTTCACATATTTCCATAAATAATAAATGACATTATCATAAATAATAAATGACATTATCATAAATCATAAACGATATTCTCATAATTGAAATGACATTATTGTAATTAATAAATGGCATTATCATAATTAATAAATGACATTATAATTAATAAATTACATTATCATAATTAATAAATTACATTATCATAATTAATAAACGACATAATCATAAATACTAAATGACATTATAATTAATAAATGGCATGATCATAATTAATGACATTATCATAAATTATAAATGACATTATCATAAATTCTAAATGACATAATAAATAATAAATGACATTATAATTAGTAAATGACATTATCATAATTAATAAATGGCATTATCATACGGTAAATAATAAACTGTATATGAAATAATCAACAGATACATAAAGACTTTTGTTATAATATCCACAAATAGAAATAAAAATAAAAATAAGGTTCTGAAAAGCAGTGGGGAGAAGTCGTGTTTATCGACTCGTTTTACACTCAGACTCTTACAGCGCGTCACATTACTCACGTACAAACAGAAATATTGCGTCGTTTACTTTCAGATAACGATTCCTTCTCGAGCGTACCTCGCTTTAAACGGATAGTTTGGGTTTTTGACATAAACCTGAGTGTCGTCCCCGTGAGCAGCGTCCGGTGAGTCGAGGTACTGACCGTTATCGAAAGTCGTCCGACAAGTTCACTGAGAACAGAATAAAAACAATCTGTGTTCAACAGAGTGAAACATTTACATCACAAAACCATCGTCGCCAAAAAGTCAGACTCATTATCACTTAACGCTAGACCTGGTTTAGTCCTGGTTTAGACCTGGTTTAGTCCTGGTTTAGACCTGGTTTAGACCTGGTTTAGTCCTGGTTTAGACCTGGTTTAGACCTGGTTTAGTCCTGGTTTAGACCTGGTTTAGTCCTGGTTTAGTCCTGGTTTAGACCTGGTTTAGTCCTGGTTTAGACCTGGTTTAGTCCTGGTTTAGTCCTGGTTTAGACCTGGTCTGAGTTGTGGTTCTGGTCCTGGTCTAGTCCTGGTCTGAGTTGTGGTTCTGGTCCTGGTCTAGTCCTGGTCTAGTCCTGGTCTGAGTTGTGGTTCTGGTCTCAGGATGAACCGCGCTGTGACTTGGGGCTTTGAACGGGACGTGGGGAATCGCACTACGCATCACTTCCTGTACCCGGAGAGCGCCGTGGACCTGCCGCCTCGAGTCCACCTGGTCCTCGTGCCCTTCAAGATCCGAGACCTGGAGTGGGTCCGGAGCGCCCTGACCACCGGGAACATCACCATGTAAGACCTGAGGGACCTGAGTGAGACCTGAGTGAGACTTGAGTGAGACCTGAGTGAGACTTGAGTGACCTGAGTGAGACATGTGAGACCTGAGTGAGACCTGAGTGACCTGAGTGAGACTTGAGTGAGACTTGAGTGACCTGAGTGAGACATGTGAGACCTGAGTGACCTGAGTGAGATCTGAGTGAGACCTGAGTGACCTGAGTGAGACTTGAGTGAGACTTGTGAGACTTGAGTGACCTGAGTGAGACCTGAGTGACCTGAGTGAGACTTGAGTGAGACCTGAGTGAGACCTGAGTGAGACTTGAGTGACCTGAGTGAGACATGTGAGACCTGAGTGAGACCTGAGTGACCTGAGTGAGACTTGAGTGACCTGAGTGAGACATGTGAGACCTGAGTGACCTGAGTGAGATCTGAGTGAGACCTGAGTGACCAGAGTGAGACTTGAGTGAGACTTGAGTGAGACTTGTGAGACCTGAGTGACCTGAGTGAGACATGAGTGACCTGAGTGAGACCTGATTGACCTGAGTGAGACCTGAGTGACCTGAGTGAGACCTGAGTGAGACCTGAGTGAGACTTGAGTGACCTGAGTGAGACATGTGAGACCTGAGTGAGACCTGAGTGAGACCTGAGTGAGACATGTGAGACCTGAGTGACCTGAGTGAGACCTGAGTGACCTGAGTGAGACTTGAGTGAGACTTGTGAGACCTGAGTGACCTGAGTGAGACATGAGTGACCTGAGTGAGACCTGAGTGAGACCTGAGTGACCTGAGTGAGACCTGAGTGAGACCTGAGTGACCTGAGTGAGACCTGAGTGACCTGAGTGAGACCTGAGTGACCTGAGTGAGACCTGAGTCAAACCCTAACCCTCTCTCCTCTGATTGGTTCAGGACCTACATGCGGGTGAAGGACCGGGTCTCGGCGGATCCAGACCGGGTTCTGGTCTTGAGTCCAGAATTCTTCAGATACGTCCACGAGCGCTGGACCCAGAACCACGGGCGCTACCCGTCCACCGGGCTCATCGCCGTCATCTACGCCCTGCACACCTGCGACCGGGTACCGACGGGACCGGGACCGGGACGGGACCGAGACGGGACCGAGACGGGACGGGACGGGACGGGACGGGACGGGACCGGACGGGACCGGACGGAGACGGGACGGGACGGGACGGGACCGGGACGGACGGGACCCGAGACGGGACCGGGCCCGGGACCGGACGGGACGGGACCGGATGGGACCGAGACGAGACCGGGACGGGACCGGGACCGGGACCGGGGACCGGGACCGGGACGGGACCGGGACGGGACCGGGACGGGACCGGACGGGACCGAGACGGGACCGAGACGGGACCGAGACGGGACCGGACGGACCGGGGACGGGACCGGGACGGGACCGGGACGGGACCAGGGACGGGCCCAGGACGGGACCGAGACGGGACTGAGACGGGACCGGGACTGAGACGGGACCGAGACGGGACCGGGACCGGGACCGGGACGGGGGACCGGGACGGGACGGGACGACGGGACCGGGACGGGACCGGGACGGGACGGGACCGGGACGGGACGGGACGGACGGGACCGGGACCGGGACGGGACGGGACGGGACCGGGACGGGACCGACGGGACCGAGACGGGACCGGGACCGGGACCGGGACCGGGACGGGACCGGGACGGGACCGGGACGGGACCGGGACGGGACCGGACGGACCGGGACGGGACGAGACCCGGGGACGGGACCGGGACCGGGACCGGGACGGACCGAGACGGGACCGGGACGAGACGGACCGGACGGGACCGGGACGGGACGGGACGGGACGGGACCGGGACCGGGACGGGACCGGGACGGGACCGAGACGAGACCGGGACGAGACCGGACCGGACGGGACCGGGGACGGGACCGGACGGGGACGGGACGGGGACGGGACCGAGACGGGACCGGGACGAGGGACCGGACGGGACGGGACCGGGGACCGGGACCGGGACCGAGACGAGACCGGGACGAGACCGGGAACGGGACGGGACCGGGACGGGACCGAGACGGGACCGGGACGGGACCGGACGGGACCGGGACGGGACCGGGACGGGACCGGGACGGGACCGAGATGGGACTGAGACGGGACCGGGACCGGGACGGGACCGAGATGGGACTGAGACGAGACCGGGACCGGGATGGGACTGGGACCGAGACGGGACCGGGACCAGACCACGACCGCACGGGACCGAGACGGGACCGGTACCGCGACAGGACCGGGACGGGACCGGAACCAGACCGGGACGGGACCAGGACTAAGACGGGACCGGGACGGGACTGGGACCAAGACAGGACCGGGATCGGGACGGGACTGGACCAGACCGGGACGGGACAGGGACCAAGATGGGATCGGGACGGGACCAGGACGGGACCGGGATGGGACCGGGTACGGGACCGGGACAGGACCAGACAGCGACAGGACCGGGACGGGACCACGATGGGACGGGACCAGGACGGGACTGGGACCAGGATCAGATCAGGACTAGACGGGACTAGACCAGGGAACAAACCGGAACCGGACCGGAACTGGACCAGGACTAGACCGGGGCTAGGCCAGGACTGATACCATGATTAGACCGGAACTGACACTGGGACTAAACCAGTACTGGGACTAAACCAGGTGCGGACTGGGACTAGATCGTGACTGATACTGGGATTAGACCAGGACTAAACCGGGGACTAGACTAAACCTGGTTCTTAGTGAGTCTAAAGTATGTTGTTGTTTCTCTGCTCTGATTGGCCCGTTTAAACCCTCTCTCTCCTGTGATTGGCTCAGGTCTCGGTGTTCGGCTTCGGTGCAGACGGGCACGGGGATTGGCATCATTACTGGGAGCAGAACCGTTTCGCCGGAGCGTTCCGGAAAACCGGAGTCCACAACGGAGAATACGAGACGAGCATCCTCCAGAGACTCAACCAGGACGGGAAAGTCCACCTGTACCCCGGACTAAACCAGGACTAAACTAGGACTGAACCAGGACTAAACCAGGACTAAACTAGGACTGAACCAGGACTAAACCAGGACTAGACCAGGACTAGACCAGGACTAGACCAGGACTAAAACAGGGGGTCTGCTGCCTGTTCCGACATCCCTTCATTCCGACATGTCTCTATTTAGACTTTTTTTTTTTCGTTTATTTGATGCTTTTAGTCTCGTTATTCCCACACGTCCTTTTACGTCCGACCACAGAGCTGCAGGCGTCTGTTACGTGTCTGTTACGTGTCTGTTCGGTGGAGCGTCTGTTACGTGTCGGTTCTGTGGAGCGTCTGTTTACGTGTCTGTTCTGTGTCTGTTACGTGTCGGTTCGGTGGAGCATCTGTTACGTGTCTGTTACGTGTCGGTTCGGTGGAGCGTCTGTTACGTGTCGGTTCTGTGGAGCGTCTGTTACGTGTCGGTTCGGTGGAGCGTCTGTTACGTGTCTGTTTCGTGTCAGTTCGGTGGAGCGTCTGTTACGTGTCGGTTCTGTGTAGCGTCTGTTACGTGTCGGTTCTGTGGAGCGTCTGTTACGTGTCGGTTCTGTGGAGCGTCTGTTACGTGTCGGTTTGGTGGAGCGTCTGTTCTGTGTCGGTTCGGTGGAGCGTCTGTTACGTGTCGGTTCGGTGGAGCGTCTGTTCCGTGTCGGTTCGGTGTAGCGTCTGTTACGTGTCGGTTCGGTGGAGCGTCTGTTCCGTGTCGGTTCGGTGGAGCGTCTGTTACGTGTCGGTTCGGTGTAGCGTCTGTTACGTGTCGGTTCGGTGGAGCGTCTGTTCCGTGTCGGTTCGGTGTAGCGTCTGTTACGTGTCGGTTCGGTGGAGCGTCTGTTCCGTGTCGGTTCGGTTCGGTGGAGCGTCTGTTCCGTGTCGGTTTCGGTGGAGCGTCTGTTCGTGTCGGTTCGGTGTGGAGCGTCTGTTCCGTGTCGGTTCGGTGGAGCGGCTGTTCGTGTTCGGTGGAGCGTCTGTTCGGTTCGGTGTAGCGTCTGTTCCGTGTCGGTTCGGTGTAGCGTCTGTTACGTGTCGGTTCGGTGGAGCGTCTGTTCCGTGTCGGTTCTGTGGAGCGTCTGTTCCAGAGCCCGTTTACCTTCGAACAGTTTCACGTCCTCTTCAACTCTCAGCAAACTTCTTTTCTTCTTTCCCTCACGGTTCTTGAAAAATAACGTTTATGCCGCTGCTCCGACAATTAGACGCCGACGTGTAAAGATCGACATGTCGGAATATCAGCATGGAACCTCAACCAGGACTAAACCAGGACTAAACCAGGTTTCTTGCTGAACCGTGGCCAGTGCCTCTTTTTACTGTTTTATTTGTGAATAATTATGTAAACTTCCTGTGGACTCAGTGGGCGGGGCTCGGCTGTGGGCGGGGCTCAGCTGTGGGCGGGGCTCAGCTGTGGGCGGGACTTTGTTTTATATTTTTTTTATTTTCACTTTGAGCCTTTTTAAATCTCAGCACTTTGGGCCGAGGGGGAGGAGCCGACCTTGGCCTTCGCCGCGCTCGGACTTCACCTGTTCACCTGTGGAGGGCGCTCAGCTCTGTGACGTTGTTTCTGTGTGAATTCCTCTGGTGAAAAGTTTTTATATGAAATGAAATGTTGAATTTTTTGTATTTATTTGTTTTAAGGAAAATACATTTTAAATTTGTAATTAAGCCATTTTGCCCCGATCTGTGTTTGATGTGACTTCCTGTGCCGCCCGTGACACGTGATAATGACACATGTGATAATGACACATGATAATGACATGTGATAATGACACATGATAATGACACGTGATAATGACACATGATAATGACATGTGATAATGACACATGATAATGACACACGTGATAATGACATGTGATAATGACACATAATGACACGTGATAATGACACACATGATAATGACGTGATAATGACACATGTGATAATGACACGTGAATGATACATGTGACAATGACAAACGTGATGACATGTGATAATGACACGTGATAATGACACATGATGACACGTGTGATGACACATGATAATGACACATGTGGCAATGACAAACATGATGTCACATGATAATGACTTATGATAATGACACATACAATGACACATGATGACACGTGATAATGACATGATAATGACCAATGTGATAATGACACACATGACACATAATTACACACATGATAATGGCACATGTGATAATGACATGTGATAATGACACATGTGACAATGACAAACGTGATGACACGTGATAATGACACATGTGATAATGACACATGATGACACGTGTGATGACACATGATAATGACACATGTGGCAATGACAAACGTGATGTCACATGATAATGACATGATAATGACACACATAATGACACATGATGACACACGTGATAATGACACACATGACACATAATTAAACACATGATAATGGCACATGTGACAATGACACGTGATAATCAGACATAATGACATGATAATTACACACAATAATGACCCATGTGATAATGAAACACATGATAATTACACATATGATAATGACACACATAATGACCCATGTGATGACACACATGATAATGACACACATAATTACACATATGATAATGACACGTGATAATTACACATATGATAATGACACATATGATACTGACACTGTACGAGGCTCCACCCCCATGCTCCCACATGACAATTCTCCATAAAAACATGACACCAAACTGTAGCAGGAACAAGAGGGAAGTTTATTTAGTGTAAACATGCGTAAAGAGTCAACAAACAAACAAACAAATGAATAAACAAACAAACAAATAAAATATATACGGAAATAAATTAGAGAAGATTTGGTCCAAACTGAACAGAGACGATCATGTGACCTGCAGCGAGGAATATGATTGGTCCAAATGCTGCAACACCTCAAAACCTGGTCTGGTCTCTGGTCTCTGGTCTGGTCTCTGGTCTCTGGTCTGGTCTGGTCTCTGGTCTCTGGTCTCTGGTCTCTGGTCTGGTCTCTGGTCTCAGTCGAGTTCTTGGACAAATGAAGCAGGGAACAGTCCTCTCTGATCTGGAGCATCAATTACAGAACCAACCTGAAACACAAGAAGAAAAAATAGTAGTAGTAGTAGTAGTACTAGTAGTAGTAGTAGTAGTAGTAGTAGTAGTTTTAGTACTGACCCACCAGTCCGGATCTGGTTTCTCGTGGACCATGAGGATTTGTCCTTCTCTGAAGCTCAGCTCGTCTCCGTGGTCGGCGTCGCAGTCGTACATCGCCACCACGCGCTCCGTCACCGCGGCGATGGGGGGAGGGGCCACCACGCACTCAATCACCGTGGTGACGCTGCCTCCAGCCCCGCCCCCTCTCGCCCTGACCCCGCCTCTCCCCCCACCCACCTGAAAAACAACAAAACAACAAGCATTAAACCAGGACTAAACCAGGACTAAACCAGGACTGAACCAGGACTAAACCAGGACTAAAGCAGGTCTAAACCAAGACTGACCAATGAAGTGCGAGGCCTGGGTTGGGGGGCGGGCCCTCGGCTGTCGTTCTCCAGGCTCTGAGACCTCTGATTGGCCGGGCTTCTGTCAGAGTTAATCTGATTGGACGAATAAGAAACATCGCTGTCGGCGCGACGGACTCCTGCAGAGACAAAGACTTAGACCAAGACTAGACCAGGACTAGACCAAGACTGAACCAGGACTAGACCAGGACTGAATCAGGACTAGACCAGGACTAGACCAGGACTAGACCAGGACTAAACCAGGACTAGACCAGGACTAAACCAGAACTGAACCAGGACTAAACCAGAACTGAACCAGGACTAAACCAGGACTGGACCAGGACTGGACCCGGACTGGACCTTGACCCAAACAGGACTAAAAAAGACCCAAATCAGAACAAAAACAGGTCTGAACCAGGACTTAAGAAGGACTAAATCAGGACTAGACCAGGACTAGACCAGGACTAGACCCGGACTTGCCTCTGCTGTGGCGGTCGGCGTTGGCGGGCGTCGCTCTGAGGACAGAAGCAGGTCGTGTTAAACAGAAAAGAAAACGTTTAGAAAAATCAAAATAAAACTCCGACTCACTGCGAGCGCGAGGAGGCGGGGCCATGTACGGAGGAGGCGGGGCCATCTACGGAGGAGGCGGGGCCACGGGAGGTCCGGGGCTGGACTCTGAGATCTGGACTCAGGTGAGGGTCGAGGGCATGAAAAACTAAATCCTGAACATTTAAGGAGTCAACAGGGGCAGTAGAGGCAGTAGAGGCAGTAGGGGCAGTAGAGGCAGTAGAGGCAGTAGAGGCAGTAGAGGCAGTAGGGGGCAGTAGGGCAGTAGAGGCAGTAGAGGCAGTAGAGGCAGTAGGGCAGTAGAGGCAGTAGAGGCAGTAGAGGCAGTAGGGGCAGTAGAGGCAGTAGGGCAGTCAGTAGGGGCAGTGCAGTAGGCAGTAGGAGGCAGTAGGGGCAGTAGAGGCAGTAGAGGCAGTAGAGGCAGTAGGGGCAGTAGGGCAGTAGAGGCAGTAGAGGCAGTAGAGGCAGTAGAGGCAGTAGGGGCAGCAGTAGAGGCAGTAGGGCAGTAGAGGCAGTAGGGGCAGTAGAGGCAGTAGAGGCAGTAGGGGCAGTAGAGGCAGTAGGGGGCAGTAGAGGCAGTAGCAGTAGGGGCAGTAGGGGCAGTAGAGGCAGTAGAGGCAGTAGGGGCAGTAGAGGCAGTAGAGGCAGTAGGGGGCAGTAGGGCAGTAGGGGGCAGTAGTAGGCAGTAGGGGCAGTAGAGGCAGTAGAGGCAGTAGGCAGTAGGCAGTAGAGGCAGTAGGGGCAGTAGAGGCAGTAGTAGTAGAGGCAGTAGAGGCAGTAGAGGCAGTAGGGGCAGTAGAGGGCAGTAGGGCAGTAGGGCAGTAGGGGCAGTAGGAGGCAGTAGGGGCAGTAGAGGCAGTAGAGGCAGTAGGGGCAGTAGAGGCAGTAGAGGCAGTAGGGGGCAGTAGGGCAGTAGGGGCAGTAGGGGCAGTAGGGGCAGTAGAGGCAGTAGAGGCAGTAGGGCAGTAGGGGCAGTAGGGGCAGTAGGGGCAGTAGGGGCAGTAGGGGGCAGTAGGGCAGTAGAGGCAGTAGGCAGTAGGGGCAGTAGAGGCAGTAGTAGGGGCAGTAGAGGCAGTAGGAGGCAGTAGTAGGGCAGTAGTAGGGCAGTAGGGCAGTAGAGGCAGTAGAGGCAGTAGAGGCAGTAGGGGCAGTAGGGGCAGTAGGGGCAGTAGAGGCAGTAGGGGCAGTAGGGCAGTAGAGGCAGTAGGGCAGTAGAGGCAGTAGGGGCAGTAGGGCAGTAGGGCAGTAGGCAGTAGGGGCAGTAGGGCAGTAGGGCAGTAGGGGCAGTAGAGGCAGTAGGGGGCAGTAGGGGGCAGTAGGGGCAGTAGGGGCAGTGGGGGGCAGTAGGGGCAGTAGAGGCAGTAGGGCAGTAGGGCAGTAGAGGCAGTAGGCAGTAGGGGGCAGTAGGGGCAGTAGGGGCAGTAGGGGCAGTAGGGGCAGTAGAGGCAGGGGCAGTAGAGGCAGTAGGGCAGTAGAGGCAGTAGAGGCAGTAGGGCAGTAGGGCAGTAGAGGTAGGGGCAGTAGGGGCAGTAGGGCAGTAGGCAGTAGGGGCAGTAGGGCAGTAGAGGCAGTAGGGGCAGTAGGGGCAGTAGGGGCAGTAGGGCAGTAGGCAGGGCAGTAGAGGCAGTAGAGGCAGTAGGGGCAGTAGAGGCAGTAGAGGCAGTAGGGGCAGTAGAGGCAGTAGGGGCAGTAGAGGCAGTAGGGGCAGTAGAGGCAGTAGAGGCAGTAGAGGCAGTAGGGGCAGTAGAGGCAGTAGGGGCAGTAGGGCAGTAGGGGCAGTAGGGGCAGTAGAGGCAGTAGAGGCAGTAGGGCAGTAGAGGCAGTAGGCAGTAGGGCAGTAGAGGCAGTAGGGGCAGTAGGGGCAGTAGAGGCAGTAGAGGCAGTAGGCAGGGGGCAGTAGAGGCAGTAGGCAGGGGCAGTAGGGGGCAGTAGGGGGCAGTAGGGGCAGTAGGGGCAGTAGTAGGGGGCAGTAGGGGCAGTAGGGGCAGTAGGGGGCAGTAGGGGGCAGTAGGGGGCAGTAGGGGCAGTAGGGGCAGTAGGGGCAGTAGGGGCAGTAGGGGGCAGTAGGGGCAGTAGGGCAGTAGGGGGCAGTAGGGGCAGTAGGGGCAGTAGGGGCAGTAGGGGGCAGTAGGCAGTAGGGGCAGTAGGGGCAGTAGGGGGCAGTAGGGCAGTAGAGGCAGTAGGGGCAGTAGGGGCAGTAGGCAGGGCAGTAGGGGCAGTAGGGCAGTAGGGGGCAGTAGGGGCAGTAGGGGCAGTAGGGGCAGTAGGGGCAGCAGTAGGGGGGCAGTAGGGGCAGTAGGGCAGTAGGGGGCAGTAGGGGCAGTAGGGGCAGTAGGGGCAGTAGGGGCAGTAGGGGGCAGTAGGGCAGTAGGGGGCAGTAGGGCAGTAGGGCAGTAGGGGCAGTAGAGGGCAGTAGGGCAGTAGGGGGGGCAGTAGGGGCAGTAGGGGCAGTAGGGGCAGTAGGGGCAGTAGCAGGGGCAGTAGGGGCAGTAGGGGCAGTAGGGGCAGTGGGGGCAGTAGGGGCAGTAGTAGGGGGCAGTAGGGGAAGTAGGGGGCAGTAGGGGAAGTAGGGGGCAGTAGGGGCAGTAGGGGCAGTAGGGGCAGTGGCAGTAGGGCAGTAGGGGCAGTAGGCAGTAGGGCAGTAGGGGGGCAGTAGTAGAGGCAGTAGGGCAGTAGAGGGCAGTAGAGGCAGTAGAGGCAGTAGGGGCAGTAGAGGCAGTAGAGGCAGTAGTAGGCAGTAGAGGCAGTAGCAGTAGGGCAGTAGAGGCAGTAGAGGCAGTAGGGGCAGTAGAGGGCAGTAGAGGCAGTAGGGGGCAGTAGGGCAGTAGGGGCAGTAGTAGGGGGCAGTAGGGGAAGTAGTGGCAGAAGGGGGCAGTAGGGGCAGTAGGGGCAGTGGGGGGCAGTAGGGGCAGTAGGGGGCAGTAGGGGCAGTAGGGGCAGTAGTAGGGGCAGTAGGGGCAGAAGGGGGCAGTAGGGGGCAGGGGCAGTAGGGGGCAGTAGGGGCAGTGGGGGCAGTAGAGGCAGTAGGGGCAGTAGAGGCAGTAGAGGCAGTAGTAGGGGCAGTAGAGGCAGTAGGGGCAGTAGTAGGGCAGTAGGGCAGTAGGGGCAGTAGGGGCAGTAGGGGCAGTAGGGGGGCAGTAGGGGCAGTAGGGGCAGTAGGGGCAGTAGGGGCAGTAGGGGCAGTAGGGGCAGTAGGGGGCAGTAGGGGGCAGTAGGGGGCAGTAGGGGCAGTAGGGGGCAGTGGGGGGCAGTAGGGGCAGTAGGGGCAGTAGGGGGCAGTAGGGGGCAGTAGGGGGCAGTAGGGGGCAGTGGGGGGCAGTAGAGGCAGTAGGGGCAGTAGGGGGCAGTGGGGAGGGGCAGTAGGGGCAGTAGTAGGGGGCAGTAGGGGCAGTGGGGGCAGTAGGGGCAGTAGGGGCAGTGGGGGCAGTACGGGCAGTAGGGGCAGTGGGGGGCAGTAGAGGCAGTAGGGGCAGTAGGGGGCAGTGGGGGGGCAGTAGGGGCAGTAGTAGGGGGCAGTAGGGGAAGTAGGGGCAGAAGGGGGCAGTAGGGGGTAGCAGGGGTCGTTACCGTGTTTGTTGGACTCGGAGCACGTCCTTTTGCGTCTCGCGGCCACAGGGGGCGGGGTCAGGGAGCACTTCCTGTTTCCCGTCTGCGCGAGGAAGAGCTCCGCCTCCTCGTCCTCGTCTCCGCCCACGGGGGGAGGGGCTGCACACACTCGCGCGTGATTGGACGAAAGAGGAAAACGTTGACGTCAAAAACGGAAACGCGTGACTGACCTTTGACCCGTGGCGGCAGGGGCGGGGCCGGGGACGTGGCGCCCGCCGGCGTCGCCAGTCTACGGCCAATCGCCAGAGAGGAGGGCGGGGCAAAGAGCGAAGTGGACGACGTGATTGGACGAGAGGAGAAAGAGAAAGAGGAGCGCTCGTTTTTCACTGGAAAACTCTGGAAGGAGCAGAAGAAGTATTTTTAGTATTTGTAGTAGTACTAGCAGTATTAGCAGTACTAGTAGTACTTACAGTACCTCAGGTTCCTCGTCGCTGTCGTACAGTAGTAGTAGTAGTAGTAGTAGTAGTAGTACTTGTAATAGTACTTGTAGTACTTGTAGTTCCTCAGGTTCTTCGTCGCTGTCATACAGTAGTAGTAGTAGTAGTAGTAGTAGTACTTGTTGTAGTACTTGTAGTACTTGTAGTACCTCAGGTTCCTCGTTGCTGTCGTACAGTAGTAGTAGTAGTACTTGTAGTACCTCAGGTTCCTCGTCGTTGTCGTACAGTAGTAGTAGTAGTAGTAGTACTTGTAGTAGTACTTGTAGTACTTGTAGTACCTCAGGTTCCTCGTCGCTGTCGTACAGTAGTAGTAGTAGTAGTACTTGTAGTAGTACTTGTAGTACTTGTAGTACCTCAGGTTCCTCGTCGCTGTCGTACAGTAGTAGTAGTAGTAGTACTTGTAGTAGTACTTGTAGTACTTGTAGTACCTCAGGTTCCTCGTCGCTGTCGTACAGTAGTAGTAGTAGTAGTACTTGTAGTAGTACTTGTAGTACTTGTAGTACCTCAGGTTCCTCGTCGCTGTCGTAGAGCTCGGGGTTCAGTCTCCACTCGAACTCGACGTGACGCAAACGCTCCTCATGAACCTCAGTGAGCTACAACAAGACCAGACCTGAGACCAGGACCAGGACCAGACCTGAGACCAGGACCA